TACTACCAAATACACATACACCCTTTTGTTGTTCTTTATAAATAAAATAAGTCTGTGATTATTTCTTTTTCGATTCGTTGTTTGTGTTATCGTGTTATTGATTTTATTGGACTTTGCGTTACAGCTATTACATATATATAGTGTCATATATACATTACATATAAACAGGACCTCACGCCTGATTGAAGGATTCACAGGCACTGTGGCTGTTACAATTTATTTAGTTCTTGTCGGGTAACACTTGTATTTTATGTTATAAGGGGTAAGATAACTAGAAAACAACAATAATATATAACGTCAACGCAAGAGAATAATCAGTATCGATTATCCCCCGAACATGTTCCATTGGCGTAAAAAAACAAATGACATATTCACGGGCATCCCCGTCCAGAGCTTGGTCATTGGGGTAAATAAGTAGCCCCAAATAAATAAATAAATAAATAAATAAATAAATAAATAAATAAATAAATAAATAAATAAATAAATAAATAAATAAATAAATAAATAAATAAATAAATAAATAAATAAATAAATAAATAAATAAATAAATAAATAAATAGTAATTTGTTCAATTGTGAATTGCGTATAAATTTACATTTCGCAATTGTTTATGACAATTAAGAGTAAACACCATGTATGTATTAGATTAACCAAAGCAGAACAAATTATATATGGTCGACTGAATTTAAATATTTCTATATTGAACTGCTTTTATTATTCTTAAGCAGCACCATACCATTATCTTATGGCTGGCAATGATATCTGGTAATTAACATTCCCACCGCCTGCATGGTCTTGTATATGGAGCGTCTGCCTGGAGAGTGTAAGGTCAGTGATTCGATCCCCTAACCGCGTCATACCAAAAGACGTTACGTGTGTACGGCTTGATCTCGAGTTTGACAACGACTAAATAGACTTGTTTTGTTGTTGTCGGGCATTTCGTAGCAAAGGCATCAATGCATCATACGCCGGTTCTGGCCTTCTGAAACTGTTCTATGTGCTCAATATATTTCTCGTGAGTAGTTATCCTGTTCCCTTTACTGTATCTGGTCCTTGTGTATATACGAACTTTGCAATGTTTGGCCGAGGTTGATTTTCTTTCTGGGCTGGTCGGGGTCCTCAGATGTGGTACAATCGTTTATATGTGAGTGAGTTGTGTTTAACGCCGCTTTTAACAGTATTCCAGTTATATCACGGCGTGTCAGCTTAATGTGGCAGGACAGCCCGAAGTGATGCAGGTCTCAGTCGTTTACGACTTCGTTGAAACCCACGAGCACGGGTATGGTGCTCACAAACCTAGGAACATAATCGGGGCGAATCGGGATTCGAATCCACAATCATAGGTTTCTTGCGTAACCAAGGGACGCAACTCTGCACAGAGAATCGCGGTCCTTAGACGACTGGGCCACCTGTTCTTTTATATGTCACGTCACTCACCAGATGTAGGTGTTCCTTGTTATAGTTCTTGAGTACGTTCTCGCATTATTCCGATGTAAGTTTCACTTTCTGTTTCATGACTATCAGGAAACATCACATAATTCCGGATAGCTCTGCATCTGATTTACTCTCTAAGGGCCAAGTTATCCCCCTTCAATGCAGCTGGGCGGTGGGGTAGCTTTGTGGTTCAAGCGTTCGCTCGTCACGCCGAAGGCCCGGGTTGGATGCCCCACACGGGTTCAACGTTTGAAGTGTCCTCGCTATAATATTGCTGGAATATTCGCGTACAACCGTACACACTCACTATATGGAAAAGTTGTTTCTGGTGCTGGAACATTCAGACTATTCTTTAGCGCTTGCTTGTCCTATTCCAGTTCGGCCTTGTAAATCGTCTAATTTAAGACTGGCACTCATAAAACGTTTCATCTATTTCTGTCCACCGTTAAACCCAATTTCACCTCACCTCATCTATTTCTTGAACTCGAGTTCGAGACTAAGTATGTTTGTTTAAAAGGTTGACAATAACACAAAGTGTATCTAACCTCATCAGGTGAATCTAACCTCAGATCAATTTAAAATTTGCCTATTATGGCTGTCGATGTTTCTGGGTTAGACTGTATGAAGGTAGGGGGTCGGGATTCCAGGCTGCACACTGTCTTGATTAGGGATGAGAAGTGATTGTACTGGGCGAGGGGAGCAGACTGCATTTAATGTTAGACGGTCAATTATACTTGTGATCATGCCTGTTCGTGTCTTGTCGTCATTGCGTTACCCGAATTCGTGTCAGACTCTACTGCGCCTGTAGACGAAGTTGATTCTCTCCTTCGATTTGCAGATTTTAACGTCTGGGATATGTATAGGCATGCTCCGTACGACAGACCATAACGTTTGACCTATTCTCCAAAATCTCGGAGAGCTTTTCAAAACTTGATGATCCCACTCGAATATCGAGATATTACAGCTATATATTTTGTGAAAATTTGGATGGTTGGGATGAATTGCTGTGACATTTTGAAGTTTTGATTGAACATGCATCACGTCTAGTGAACGACTGTCACGAATAAACAAAATAGACTTCAGAATAAACAAATAAATTTTCCAAGCATTTACGAACACATAAAATAAAATTCCAAAAGGTCCCAGCTCCCCACACCAGAATGACAAATGGCCGGCAACTTGGTATGAATACATTTGATCTTGCCTAATTTCAACATTTAAACATGTTTCAAGTGGCAGTTAACTATATGCAATAATACAGGTAAAAATAACTACAAAGTAAAATTCAACGTGCTTTATTTCCAAGGAGGTTCAAGCTTTGATACATCCAAATTATCTTTATTATCAGTGTGTACTTTAAATGTATATGTATACACAAATATTCCAACTAAGGTATAAAGTTTGCATGCATGACCCCATATATAGTGATTATTGCTTTAGTGTATGATCTCCAGATTAATTATGAGGGCTAACCATACATGGATATACATACATGATGTGTTTGTAGTTGATGGTACTATAGGTGCCTATAATGTTCAATGTTTTTAATGTAATGTTTCTGTTAGCGCAACTGTTACACGACGCATACACGTCCAGGTCAAGGTGATACACCTGTGATTTCATTCAGGATCTGGGGGCAAGGGTGGCCCAGTCGTCAAAGGCGCCGCGATTCGCTGTGCAGTGTTGCGTCCCTTGGGCACGCCAGAAACCTATGATTGTGGGTTCGAATCCCGATTCGCCCCGATTATGTTTCTAGGTTTGTCAGCGCCATACCCGTGCTCGTGGGTTTCACCGAAGTGGTAAACGTCTGAAACCTGCATCACTTCGGGCTCCTCCCACATTAAGCTGACACGCCGTGATATAACTTGAACTGTAAAAAGCGGCGTTAAACCAAACTCACTCACTCATTCAGGATCTATATACAACAAATGCGTCGCATGTACAACATGTGCACTGCACAATAAGTCTTGGTTAAGGATTGAAATATCATATTGTACACGTTTCATAGGGAAATGTCATGATGTCATGGTGTATATACATTTCCATGCAAAGGAGTAATGCATGTTAAGTAAACATGTAAGTATCTTTATGAAAAAGTATTAAATTTGATATTTGCCTTTAGAAGACAAGGAAAGGTACATGTATGTTCTTTTCGGTCGAACAGAGTTTCAAAAATTCAAATATTTGATAACCAATTAATAAATTCCTATGAATTATTTTTTTAGGTGTAATCATTACTGAGAATATTAATTGGGTAAAATGGTCACGTTGGAAAAAGGCGTGAAAAAAGCTATATTTGAAACGTAATAAGCAAGTCTGTGATCCAAGCTTTTGACCAAAATCATCATTATCGAGAGAGCTTGGGTAAAGTGTTTTCTTAAAATATCAAAACAAAACGAATCGGGCATGTGTTAAAACAAATCCAGACACATTTGTAAGACGTGTTTAAACTCTAGCTCACTTTTCATTTTGCCAAATTCTAAATAGCAGTACAAATGAGTTTACACTTATAATCTGTAATACAATGTACATGTTCCGGAACGCATTAATGTGTTTGGTTGTAGAATCATTCCCTATTTTCGGTTTGGATGTTGTCAATAGGCCCGTATGTCTGACTTCAAAATATCCTTTGGTGAAAAACCTCAATGGTAAAATAATCTCAGAAGTGTTTCAACCATCTATTTTCATCACGTAAAAGAGTGTTTTAACTGAATTGATATTTCATTTAAAGGGTGGATGCATAAGCTTTTTGAGATGGTGAATTCAAAAGCGCTTGTTACGACCCACCGATTTCCAATACATGTGCAATGTGTGTAAAACTTTTTCTGATGTTCCCCTTGACCAGAGTATTCTAAAAACCTCTCTCATTCGATCAAATATTTTAAAACTGTTATATAAATGCAATACAAATATTATATTGCATGTCACATGCTTCAGGAACAGATGTGCCTTCAATACTGTTCACTGGTTAACTTTATGGTTGTGTTCATTTTTCATTAGCGATTAACAGTAGCATGAAAAGTTTGAAAAAAATTACTGAGATCTGATATTCTGTGTTGCCCGAATAAGAGCAAATACAAATTGGATCAGGCACTATCTTAAAAAAGTGTCACTCTGGTGCGTAATCAATCTTTCAAGCCATATAAACAATGCAAATGATTTTTTTCGACAGTGAAATCATCATTTAAGTCACTCTTTGAAAGGGTCTATTTGAGAAATTATAATAAGCCCACCACGGTGAGTCCATATTAACAGACCGCCTCCTTGGCCTAGTGGTAGAGCGTCCGCCCGGGGAGCGGAAGGTCCGGGTTTCTATCCCCGGCCGCGTCATACCAAAAGACGTTAAAAGATGGTACTTGTTGTTACCCTGTCTGGCGCTCGGCATTAAGGGGCTAAAACAATGACTGGTCGGTTGGAGTCAGTATACTGTGTCTGAGTGGGGTATCCATGTTAAACTGCGGCATGGTATTTCAGTGGGCTAGCACTATAAATCGGCATCAGTCCGGACTAGTACAAGCAGCCACACAAACACACACACGTCGTTATATAAGAGCAATAGTCTTGGACGCGACGGTAAACCCCATTTCACTTCACCTCACCTCCATATTAACATATTTTTTAAAACCATATTTGTTTGACATTTCTAATAAGAATGTGTTCCTTTTCTATCAAGCTATTGATTACAAAAAAGAATGATACATCTTGCTGGATGTGTACTTACGAAACGGTGATATAACATCTCGTTTGACCAACGCCACTGCTGTACATGCACAATAAAGCGGCAAAACCCTTTCCATAATCACATGTTAAACGAGAATGCATTAGGACTTTATCATAAACATGTGTTTGGAAATCAATATCAAATAGTGATGATACTAGCTGTTCACGAAAAGGCGAGCGTATCCTGCCCCATCGTAGGCACCCGTCACAAACACATCATCGACACCTACACAACCACTTCAAGAATGTCAGCAGGTCTGGTACAACGATGAAGACAAAGGGAAGTACTAACATTACAATCCCTGACATCCCAATGACATTTGAGGACTTTCTGTCGTCCTGTTTACTGACCTTCTTAGCAATTTCTGTCGTCAAGAGTTCTGTTTCAACTGCTAGATCATTTTGCAGTTCTTCTCCTCTTTGAACAGCCTCTTCTTGCACCGTTGGAACTGCCGCGGGTCTACACCGACACGTGCACTTCTGTCGTATTGCTCTTCCATAGCTATCCCAAGCAAGAACCTGTCCATCTGGATGAGGTGTTGTGACAGCATCGGTTGTAACGGCAGCAAGAGATGTCGATGAACCGGTCGACGTTGATGACAGTATCGTCGAAGGTGACGTGACCGACGTGGAGGTAAACGGTGCAGGTGTGGTTGTGGCTGTGGTAGGCGTTGAAGTTGTGGTTGTAATTGTGGTTGCGGTATGCGTTGAAAATGTGTTTGTGGGTGTGGATGTGCTAGGCGCTGTGTTTGTGATTGCGGTCGCGGTTGTGGTGGGCGCTTTGGTTGTGGATGTCGTGGATGTCGTTGTGGCTGTTGATGGCGTTGTGATTGTGGTGGGCGCTGTGCCTGTGGATGTCATGGCGGGCGTTGTAGTTGTTGTAGGCGTTATGGTGGACGTGGTTGTGGGCGTTGTTGCGGGCGTTGTGGTCGGCGTTGTTGTGGACGTTGTGGTGGGCGTTGTTGGGGACGTTGTCGGCGTTGTTGAGGGCGTTGTGATAGGCGTTATGGTGGGCGTGGTTGTAGTTGTGAGCGTTGTCGAGGGCGTTGTGATAGGCGTTGTGGTGGGCGTGGTTGTCGTTGTAGTTGTGGGCGTGGTTGTGGGCGTTGTGGTGGGCGTTGTTGGGAGCGTTGTTGATGGCGTTGTTGAGGGCGTTGTGGTGGGCGTTGTGATAGGCGTTGTGGTTGGCGTGGTTGTCGTTGTAGTTGTGGGCGTTGTGGTGGGCGTTGTGGTGGGCGTTGTTGGGGGCCTTGTTGATGGCGTTGTTGAGGGCGTTGTGGTAGGCGTTGTGATAGGCGTTGTGGTGGTTGTGGTTGTCGTTGTAGTTGTGGGCGTGGTTGTGAGCGTTGTGGTGGGCGTGTTTGTGGAAGTTGTGGTTGTCGTTGTAGTTGCGGACGTTGTGGTTGTGGAAGTTTTGGTTGTGACACTCACTGGAACTGATGTGAAAAAAAACATGAAATGTTAAACATGGACACGATGCAGCACAATAACGTAGCAATACGAAGTTAAACCATGATCAGTTGAGTGCATAATCATCGCATCATGATGAGCGATTCGTCCTATCATGATAACACATATACGCACATATTGTTTGTGTGAGTGGCAGTGCCACCGGTTGGGCAAGACATGTTTACCATTTTACGAACACCTGGTGTCAGTGATTTTCAGTGACCCATTCACATAACTTTCAACCGCTGTTGTCCCTGTTACAATGGAGTACTTAGCATTCACATATATTATAAATAAATAACTTTGGGGCTAACTGACAATGACGAAATAAATGAAAAACAGGCTTGTTATAAGGAATAATAGTAATAGCAGTGTTTATATTTTTTTAATATCACAAAGCCTTGTATAACCGCATATATAAGAATGGTGGTCACTTTTGTGTTCTTTTTGATGATATGACCATGATTGATGACAGTTACAAGTTCTGGATTCTGTTTAGTAAACATGACATTAGAAGTTAGACTGGTAAACTTGTATTCAATATGTATAATTGGAATTATTTCAAACCCGATTAATTGTAACGAAAAACATAGTCCTTATCCTGAGATTGTACAGGTATTCATGTTACTGTTTGCTGATAACGAGTTATCAGGTTCAAGTCTGGTGTGGCAGACATTGAATATTCTTATTAAGGCGCCGCGATTCGCTGTGCAGAGTTGCGTCCCTTGGGCAGACAGAAACCTAAGTATGATTGTGGGTTCGAATCCCGGTTCACCCCGATTATGTTTCTAGGTTTGTCAGCACCATACCCGTGCTCGTGGGTTTCACCGAAGTGGTAAACGTCGGAGACCTGCATCACTTCGGGCTTTCCTCCCACATTAAGCTGACACGCCGTGATATAACTGGAATACTGTTAAAAGCGGCGTTAAACCCAACTCACCTACTCACTATCAAGTTTAACTGAAGTTTGAATTTGAAAACAATATGATCTTTCAGTAATGAGGGTTAATATTGCAAAATCAGATAAATATGTTTTAAAGAAAAAAATCGAAGACATTGTCAATTCACATTAGGACCTGACAGAAATAAAAATAGTTGGCACTTACTAATAATACTACAAAATTTTAACTGGAATTTTCAGAAATTAAAAGGACCTTGGGAATAAAAACTTTATGAAAACAATTGAAGATATTGTAAACTAAGATCAACTCACTTCTGTCATACGGAACAGAAGTATATTAATCATATATTAGATGCTCTTGACAAGTTCATCTGTATACTAGCAAACATTGGTAGGAGTCAAGGTCAACACACCAAGTACAATGGTCTTCGTGGATGTGGTACAACTCCTTTGTATTAATAAACATGGCTGTGCTAAAACCATTAGGTATTGCATAAGAATCATTTTCATGCTTTCATAAGATTCCCTACCCAACTGGTGTCACTATGCGATGCAAATGGACATGATTACGATGGTAGGAAATGTGTCGTTTAAAAGTGGAAGTGAAATTGTATGGATTGTGCAACAGGTGGAGAAATTTATTATTAAGTCTATTAAACAAATGCTAAAAGATATATTTACAAGGATGGTACATATTTTATCCCAATCTAATAAACTGATTGTTATTTTGTAAAAGGAACATATTTCTCAAACGTTTTACTTTACTTATGAGCAGCAGAATATCTGTACTTGCACAGAACAGACGAATTTCAAAATTAATATGTAGGTTTTAGTTTCAACAAGATACATGTAAATGTGCTGTCGCCTGATTGGATTTCTGAGTCATCATGTGGTCGCATGGTTTGTTCATATGCCGCTGTCATATGGCAGGATTACTGCTGTGCTGTGTCAGGCAGCAAAAAACATACTCTTTTACGCTTTTTGATTGTTTTGTTTTTTGTTTGATCGTTGTTAAACGCCGCACCAAACAATATTGCAGCTTTATGGCGGCGGTCTGTAAATAATTGAGTCCGGACCAGATAATCCAGCGATTGACATCATGAGCATCGATCCACGCAATTGTGATACGATGACATGCATCAACCAAGTCAGCGAACCTGACCACTCTATTCCGTTAGTCGCCTCTTACGACAAGCATAATCGCTTTTTACGGCAAGCATGGACTGCTGAAGACCTATTCTACCCTGGATCTTCACGGGTCACTTTTTTATGCAAATTGTTCAAGAGGTGGGTGCTAAATATAGGGCAGGACGTGCTTAGCCTGGTGTCACCTGGTGTCATCACCGATTTCAGTGATCCATTCGCATAACTTTCACTGCTATTTTGCCTCCTAACTCTCAGTTGAATTTGCTATGTGGGAAAATCGAGACTTGCTGTTCTCTAGCGCTGACGTTTTATATTTAGTAGGAAATCACCGATAATAATGAATAACATTTACTAAATGGAAGTATTTCAGTCTGTATTAGCACATTTCAGATGTACATGACATAAAATTTGGTGGGTGTAGAAATGTTCCACGAGAAACAAGAATTTGCGAACATTGTAATATAAATGTATTTAGGAGAGATATGACAACAAGGACATACAAATGTTTTAGTGTCAGATTCCGGCAGGTTAGCATACAGATCGTGTTGATGTGATAAATAACATACATTAAAATACGACCCTCTCCCTTGACCAACCAAACATCTCCGTCTATCCGAGTACTGTTTTTGTCCCAGTTGGCTCTTAAGGATGTTGACAAAGTAACTTAATACTGTGCATATGTCAGTATAACACCAGCTGAGGTGAGGTGAAATTGGATATACATTAGGATCTGGGCATAAATGTTCAAAGTGACAAAATGCTATCCACAAAACAGTATGACTAAGAGGGATGAATATCAACTATATCCCTTCGCACAATATTCGAGTCATCTCCAGCCTTTGGTGTCTACATTTCATATTTATTTAAGGCACACTCGTGTATGATTTCAAAGAGCCTTACACGACTTTTGCTCCGAAGTTGTTTGATCGAGGCTACAACATTCAAGGTCCCAGTAAAGCTTTCACGGAGGACATGTGGATGGCATTTCAAAATTACACACATCGGTGACAAAAATTATGTCCGATGAAATTAGTTATCTTGACTTTTATTCCATTTTTTCCAGGTGAACAATTGTCTTGCCTTTGAATGTGTTGGTAATAGGTGCCACCGGTGGGGCAGGATACGCTAACCTTTTCGCGAACTCTTGGTATCATCACTATTTGATAGTGATTCATAAACACATGCTCATGATATATTCTATTGATTTCTATTGAATATGGAACTGGTTTTGCCACTTTTATTTTCAAAGAGCGTCATACGACTTTTGCTTAGAAGTTGTTTGATCAAGGTACAATATTCAAGGGTGCCACCGGTCGGGCAGGATACGCTCACCTTTGCGCGAACACCTTTTATTTAACGTCGAGTTTAAAATTGTTGCACACCTTTCTCTCTCCTAACAGACGTAATATCCACTGGACCACTGATGTGGTCATACCAAAAGACCTTAAAAGATGGTACTACTTGTTACCCTGTCGGCATTAAGGGGCGAAAACAAGGACTGGTCGGCTCGGAGTCAGTATACTGTTTCTGAGTGGGGTATCTATGTTAAACTGCGGCATGGTATCTCAGTGAGCTAGCACTATAAATCGGCTTAATCCGGACTGGTACAAGCAGCCACACACACACAAACACACACGTACACACGTGCATGCACGTCGCTATATAAGAGCAATAATCTTGGACGCAACGTTAAACTCAATTTCACCTCTCCTCACTGATGTGGTCTACTTGAAATGAAAATTAAAACATTTAATATTTAATGGCTCTTGCAAGTTAGAATGCCCATGTACACTCACCTCCCAGGACGATGATTTCGCAGATACTTATGGTTTGGACACTTGGAAATTTTAGTTGGATGAACATTGCATCGTTACTGAAGCCAGCATCGCATGTGGGTATCCATTGTGTTCCTTTCTTAGTGGCGACTTGCGTGCAGCGAGACCAGCACTCGTCTCTGTCAGAACAGGTGCTACTGATATGCACTTCAGTGTTCGCCGCGGGATATTCTAGCAATAAGAATATGTTATATGGTTTGTGATTTTGGTTTAACGCCGATGTGTAGTGTATCAACAATATCTTAATTTTGGAGATAAATCAAAAGTAGACGTTCACAACTTTACAATAGCAAAACATTCAGGTTCATAATAAGGGTGAATCAGGGATTCGAACCCACGATCGGGACACCGAGTCGCTATTTCTTAGGCCAGTGAGCTAACGGTGCTCAATTTGCCTTGTAATGAATAATATGCAACATACTGCGGTTTGCAGAGGTATGATTCTGGATATGACACTTGAACTGTTACACAAACACTCAAACATTTGTGGGCATTTGTGATCATGAGTGAGTGAGTGAGTGGGGTTTATATAACTCCGCTTTTAATAGTATTCCAGTTATATCACGGCGTGTCAGTTTAATGTTGTGGGGAACCCGAAGTGATGCAGGTCTCCGACGTTTACCACTTCGATGAAACCCACGAGCACGGATATTGTGACAAACCTAGAAACATAATAGGGGCGAACAGGGATTTAAACCCACACTGATGTTTGGTGTCCCTCAAGAGACGCAACCCCTTTCTTCATGACGAAGAATAGATATATATATATATATATATATATATATATATATATATATATATATATATATATATATATATATATATATATATTGTCTGCAAATACCGAAGTTAAATTCAAATGTTTACATAAGCCAACCACAAGCCCATAGTAAGCCATTGTAACTTGCGCCTCAGACATTATGGTGGGCTTTTCGGAAACTTTTTGTTTTGTTTTTGAGAAAACATTTTAATCGTGTTTAACATAGATAATATCCTATACATGAGCATGTAAAACACTGCAATGTGATCATAAAATATGGAAATTACGACACTTGCTTACAAAGTATTTTAATATCGAAAACTGAAAGTTTTGAATTTCAGTTTCTTTTACTAATTTTCCACTGCATGTAAAGAATAGGTTTGAACACAGAGATGTCCAGGTTGCATGGCTACAAATACAGACTAGATGTAATCATGTGTGAATTAATTTACAAAACAACATTATTGTCCCCACACGAATACCCCGATGATGGTACTGATAAATGACCGTCCTTGCATGTTGCTGATAAATCAGAACTTACTTGCGAATATGCCGATTTGTTGAATGCTGTAAATGTTTGGCAGGTTGATCACTAGCCAAAAGTTGTTGAGATAAGAGTTAGTAGTGCAGGAGGAGGGGTCAAGCTTTTGGATTCCATCCAACGCCAGGTTACCGTCCAGGCCGATTATCATATTGATCTCTGCGCCGAGAGCAATGTTGACCTCATCTACAAAAATAGAATAGAACATTAAGAAATTATGGTATACATACGCCTTTATAATTACACAATATTTTCGTCTTATAAAACTATATATGCTGATCCCGGAGGTACCTAACAACTAAGCCTTTGTTTCACGGAGACATCGCAGGAACATGAACTAAATATTTATGTTCATCATGAGCTAAATTTGCCTGATCAAAAATGACATCTTAACATCCCTTCTTGTAACAATCCGTGGTCTAGTGGTAGAGCGTCCGCCCGGAGAGCGGAAGGTCCGGGGTTCGATGCCCGGCCGCGTCATACCAAAAGACGTTAAAAGATGGTACTTGTTGTTACCCTGTCTGGCGCTCGGCATTAAGGGGGTAAAACAAGGACTGGTCGGTTGGAGTCAGTATACTGTGTCTGAGTGGGGTATTCATGTTAAACTGCGGCATGGTATCTCAGTGAGCTAGCACTATCAATCGGCATCAGTCCGGCCTAGTACAAGCAGCCACACACACTCACACACGTGCATGCACGTCGCTATATAAGTGCAATAATCTAGGACGCGACGTTAAACCCAATTTCACCTCACCTCACCTTCTTTTAACATACACAACGCATAACATTGATAACATTTTTATAAATGTGTGAATCATGAGAGTGATCCTCTCTTCTGTTGCTACCCCGAGAAGATCTGCGTTAGAAATGGTCTTCAGAAACCCATGCTTGTCATGAGGCGACTAACGTCATGGCGTCCAAATTGCGTAGGTCGACGCTCATTGAATTGTCTGGTTGTTTACACATCGCCATCAGATGGCTAGAATATTGTTGAGTCCGACGTTAAAGAACAACAAACAAACCTTTGCTACATTCACGTTAAATAAACTAAACAGTACCAAACCCATGACAACAGTGTACCAAGAAGCTGTTCTCCGATTATGTTGGATTTTATTCGGGGATAAACCAAGTATAACTCAGCTATGTTAGATATTTAAGATACAGGAGTATATTCCAGGAGTCTAAATGCGTATTTAGTATCATGTCAAAAAAAGTTAGAGAGTATAACTAAAAGTTAAAAAAAAGATCTATGATCTATGATCTACTGACCACCAGCATCCGTGGATTTATATCTAAAGTAAACGTCCTCGGAAACCACGATTTGAATTAGAAAATTATCTCACGTCCCTTCCCCTAAATAAAGCTATCCCTCTACTTTTATTTCGCACTTCATGCCACCACTTACCAATTGAAAAAGGAAGATGGAATGGGATACCTATTTGTGAAAGAAAATGTAAACTGTGTTTTATTGATGATATTGGAGATGAATTTCACTATATTTTTAAATGTCCATATTTTACTAAAGAAAGAATTTTGTATATCCCACCTACATATTCTAAAAGACCTAAAATGATTAAATTTCAAAGACTTTTCACTTGTAAAGAGATATCTGTATTAAAAAACATTAGTAAATTCTGTAAATATGTAATGCAAATTGTAAAATCTTCCGGCTAACCACATATCCGCTATCATAATGTGACTGACTGATATAGAAGATTTAACGTGCGCTTTCCGGCTGCAGCGTATTTCGCACACGGGCCTGGCCAGACCATTTAGTGTATTCCGAGAAGGGTGAAAGTGGTGTGTGCAACACAAGAGGGGGCTTTTAGGGGTTGCTTATATCGATTTTTTGAAATTTTAAAATTTGGAATAAATGCCGAGGTGGGTGGAGGAGGGAACTAAGGGAGCCGGGTGAGGTGGGTGTATGTATGTTTATTGGATTTTGGATTGGTAGATTAATTAGTTTTTAGATGCGCTTGATTAGGCCTGTTTTGATTAGGAATACGCCTAGGGCCTTGAAGTTTTCTAGTCTATTTTGAGGGTTTAGTATTTCATCTAGAGTAGGAACCTTATTTAGATTGAGGTTGGTTTGTAGTGTGGTTCTGTGTGTTTGGTAGTGGGTGCAGTGGATGAGTGCGTGTTCTGTGGTTTCGGGTTGTTTGCAGTGGGGGCAGTTGCCTGTGGTGTGTCTTTTAAGTTGTTTTAGGTGGTTATTTAGGTTCGTGTGTCCTGTTTGGAGTTTTGTAATTAATCTGTCAATTTTTTTTGAGGGGTGTAGGATTTTAGGTTTGGCTAGTGGTTTTCTGAGCACTTTTTGGATTTGGCTATTTGAGTTTTGATATTGATTATGCCATTTTTTGGTTATTTTTTGTTTGTTTACACTTTTAATTTCTGATTTTGAGATGGGTAGGTTTAGGCTTATTTCTGGTATTTTGAGAGATAATTTAGCTGCTTTATCGGCGCTTTCGTTGCCGTAAATTCCTACGTGGGCGGGGATCCACAAGAAGGTTATTTGTTTGCCTGCTTTTGTTAGGTCGTTGGAGCTTTTAAGTATTTGGTTTATTAATTTAGGTCGTTTTTTGGTATTTTTGTTTTGGAGGGCTTGTAGCCCACTAAGCGAGTCAGTGAGAATTAGGATTTTTTTGTTGTTTTTTGATTGTTGGTTATGCAGGGCTGAGGCCATGCCCATAAGTTCGGCCGTGAATATAGATTGGTTGTTAGGGAGTCGGTAAGATTGTGTGGATATAACTGGTTGTGTGGTATGGACTCCGAAACCTGTGTGGTTGGAGATCGGGTCTGAAGATCCGTCAGTGTATATGTGACACCAATTTGGCCAATTTTCGTGTATGTATGCTAGTGTGGTGGTTTTAGCTATGTTTGGGTCGGTTTGTTTATTTATTTGGTTAGTTAGCGTTGTGTCTATTTGGGGTATTTTGAGTTTAGGGGTGAAGATAATTGATTTTTTGCAGTTTTGTTTAAGATTTTGAGTTTGGTGTTCATTGAGGTAGTTAGTTATTCTTTGGGATATTGGGGTGAGTAAGGGGTGTTTGCGAGCTAGAGCTTGGTTTCTTGGGCTAATGTTTTGGTTAATTAGGTTTTGGATGAGAGGGTTTGTTTGGGACGCGATTTAGTGGCATTTCTCCTGTAAGGGCCTGAAGTGAGGTGTAGGAGGTGCCATGTTGGGTGCGTGTTTCATAATGTGCATTTTGCTGTCATTTTGTACCTCATATGCCGAGGATCTCGACCTGAACGTAATAAAGTTCTGTTCTGTTCTGTTCTGTCAGGTTTACAGGAGAATCCCCACCTTAATCCAACGTTACATTAATCCAATCACACATCAAATAGCACCGCTTATTAGCGCTGAGTAGGGTACTTCCGCTAAAACAATACGCTGGCTCGTGTTGGCCTTTGACGCAGTCGCAAAGAACAGAGACACCGGGTTGCGTGGGTGGCGTCTGTCTGGACTTGCAGATGTGATCGGTGATGAAATAAGTGAGTAGAACTCTTCTCTTCACCCAAGCAGTTACAATTCACAGGATGTAATTAGTATAAACTGCAGGTGATTCCTAGACAATTTCATTTCCGTTTATATTTCCAAAACACAAAAAGAATTGGGCCACGCCCCGTAACAAACTACTGTTTCTAATTGGCTGATAATAGAGGGGACGGGGATTTAGTTGGACTATTGCGCTGAACGAAAGTTGAACGATAACAGTTGAAGTGTTTTTGGTGAAATAAAAACTCTGTGAAGTTGTTCTTGTTGAAATATTTATTTATAAGAACTGCCTTTTTTGTTTCAAAGAGTTCAAAAGTAAAAAAGTGCACACTTTGTGTACATCTGCTACATTCGGTTTTGACCTCCATAAACGCTAATATAAACATATATGCATAAACACTTATATATAATATATCACAATAACATAATAATTTTATATTGATATATTGATATGGGTGGTGATGGTGGTAACTGGAATGAAGAAGCGCCAGTAAACGCAGTGAGTGAGTATGGTTTTACGCCGCTTTTAACAATATTCCAGCAATATCACGGCCATGGACACATATTGTACCCATGACGGGAATCGAACCCGGGTCTTCGGCGTGGCGAGCGAACGCTTTAACCACTAGGCTACCCGACCGCCCCTTGTAAACGAAGCGTTTGCTTACCTGTCTTTAATTCAGGTTCCCGTTCACAGGCAATTCCTCCGGCTAAGCTGGTACATGGGTAGCTCCTCCACTTTGAGAAGTCAGTGGCGCTGGTCATAACCGCGCATCTGGAAATCGTGTCGGGTTCTAAAGGGATAAATGTTCCAACATCAAAATCATTCCCGAGCATTGTGAGTGAGCTCTGATAATAAATAAAAGCGTGAAAACCCTCTCATAAGAAATCTCTGCCAGAAGCAGTCGATTGTACGATTCCGACTGCATCATGAGCACGTGTTTATGGATCACTATCAAATGACGTTGCAGCTAGGTGTTTGTGAAAAGGTAAGCGTATCCTGCCCAACCGGTGGCACCCATCACAAACACATGGAAAGGTAATTCAATTGTTCACCTGAAAAAAGACACGAGAACATATATCGACGAAGTCAAAATAGGGAATTGCTTCCGACATAATATTTGTCACTGATGCGCCAAATTTTGAAATGTACTCCACGTGTCCACCATGAAGCTTTACTGAATGTTGTAACCTCGGAGTCGAAGGAAGCTTGATCCAGATTTCAGTTTGTAACGGCGTATCAACCTCATCGTGAAGGAAAGTCATTTTACAATTTGATATATGTACTCACCGACAAAGGAAACATGAATACCATTGTACATTTTGGTTAATGTATAAATAGTTACGTATATTCAAGATATGTTAGATTGGTTCAATGATTAAATTGGTTCAATGAACATACAGTAAACTACGGTTATAACGAACTCAAAGGGACTACTATTTTTAGTTCGTTATAACCGTAGTTCGTTATAAGCATATATACAGCATAACTACAGCTAATTGTCGGGACTCAAAAGTAAGTTCGTTATATCCGTCAGTTCGTTATAAGCGTGTTCGTTATAACCGTAGTTTACTGTACACGCATCACATGTCACGTCATGATCCGTGACTACAGATGCACCATTTATCTTTTGCAGGTTTTGCGTGTAAAGTTTTGAAATCACATCCAGCACATCGTGATAAGAATAAAGTCACTGTGGTAACATTTGACTAATTGTTAGTTTTGTCATTAAGCAGTACGCATTGGAAACATCTCTTCTTAACGAACATACTCTTCATGTTTCTATGGTTCTCGTTTCTTTTGGCGGTGAGTATGTATATTTTCCACGGCTGTGCATGGTGCAGACAAACCGAGAAAAATAGTCATGATTAAAGATGAACGAACCATGGTAGTAGGTATCTGACAACATATCAATGGAATGCAGTTGTGGATAGAGAGTTGCGGTTGCGCGGCTGACGACTGGGGGCACCCGTGTCCTCTCCTATCCCCAAATTCCGCCCACCGTACAAGTATATAGGTTAGAAACGTTCAAGATCCGGGTTAGAATAGGTCTTCAGCAACCCATGCTTGCCGTAAGGATCGGGTGGTCAGGCTCGAGGACATGGTTGATGCATGACAATGAATCCCAATTGAGTAGATCGATGCTCATGGTGTCAAGACTCGATAATTTACAGACCGCCGTCATATAGCTGGGATATTGCTGAGTTCGGGGTTAAACAACAAACAAATAAACATGTAGGGTACGGAGACAAAGAAAGATCTTCAGTACGAATCCACAACCTGCGGATCCTGGCATGGTTAAGGGATGCAACTCTCTAAAACAACATTAAAGTATTATTCTACATTAGGTATGAGGTCATTTATACTCCTGAGGGTACGCACGTGTTGAGTCCCAATGCGTGTATCCGTTGCTAACTGGCACATCCAGATCTGTCCATTTCAGTGTAGACCCGTCGTAGTTCATCCCAAGCCACACAGAACTTTCAGAGTCTCTGTCAGAGAGAAAGATTAATTACATGGTTCATTTAACACAAATACATGACATTATTACACACTGTATCGCAATATTTTCGCGGGATCTTCAGAGTAAGACACCATTTGGATTGAGTGAAATATCTTACCCTGAAAACATAAAAGGACACCCGATTGTTTGATGTTGCGGGTGTCACGACTGAATGAGTTGTGAGTTATGCCGCATCAAACAGCATTTCCGTTTTATCACGGCGTTTCAGCTGAATGCGTGAGGAATGCCCAAAGTGATGAAGTTCTCAGACATTACAAATTAAGTAAGTTTGTTTTGATGCCGCTTTGTAAGCATTCCAATTTGTCATGGCGCATCAGCTTGATGTGGGAGGAACGCCCGAAGTGATGCAGGTGACAGACGTTTATCACGTAAGTGAAACACGAGAGAACGGGTATGGTGCTGACAAATACATGATCATAATCAGGGCGAACCTGACATTCGAACCCTTGCTGACAAGGTCAAGGCAACCCCAAAAGATGCAATCCTCAAAAAAGCCAATGTCTACGTAAATGTTGCTGTACGTTGCATAAATCCATTTACGCCATACAGGGAATTGTTGAACTTCAACCGGCTTTTGAGAAAAGGGCGGACGAGAGAAATAGTTGAAACGTTTGGGGTATATTACAAGCGTGATTTTACAGAAACTTGAACTTGTCATAGTTTTTGAAACCAGGAAGTATTGAGTATATATGTTCATGTTATGGTTCAGTGACACTCATGATAAAACTCATACCCTTGAAAAAAAGCTTGCCAATGAACTCATGAAGCATTTACTGTAGTTCGGGGCAACTTGGTAAATCTCAGAGTGACCTCTGAATATGTCAACACCATGAACATCGTCCGCAATGAAGGCGAACTAAATCATGGTACTTTGACCTTTTAGAAGGCTATTTTAATGCATTTTGAATGATGTTGATATTTCGAGTGCTCACTGATCCATTGACCGGGGTAATAATAGTGTAGCGCTATGAGCATCCACTTGGTGAATGGAATCTGGCGCATTATAAATGCACTTATTATTATTATTATTATTATTATTATTATTATTATTATTATTATTATCTGATATATTACAGGAGATGACAACCTTGTGGTCAAAGTAATAGATCGCTGTAACCTGCTTAAAATGCATTAAAGCTACCAGGTGTCTCATTCATGTGATTAATTTAGCACTGAGCAATCGTTAAGATATACATTTGACTTCTGTAGAAAAACAAATTTCCTCAAAAGATGACACTCTTGAAATAACATCCAACAGATGTTCAATGGGCTAACAAATCATGCGCTCTCAAACATCCAATTGAGTTGATCATAAAGAAATTGAGGCATCTGAATAATAGTATGTGATGTGCCACCATATCCATCGTTCTGTTCTATTAAACACTGTTGGAAGCTATCTATTTTGTCGAAACGGAAACCTAGTCAGTCACCGTCTTGTATAAGTTCACACCAGCCCGGCCTGTATGGATGTTATGACATTATAGCGTTTCTGTGACGTTACTTGCTTTTCACGTCACAGTCGACCCTATATACACGTAGAGTTATCACAGTAGAATGTCCTACGGTGGTTCAATCTAATTTTTCTTTAACCGAAATACTTCTTTGAAACCTGTAAACTCGAAGTGATAAATTCCTTCCATGTGTCAATATCGGGATGTAAAGGATTCGTATGATACCTCTTTGCCTTACAATATTACATGTTCGGCTTATAATTACTACGAAGACATTGTCACCGCATTTCAGTGCCAATGTGTGAACTGTGAATTATATTTGTGAAAGTGATAGCTCATCAAAGTAAAGTCAATCTTCGCCCTAACATTGGTTTCAAGAATTGCCTTGTGGTAAAACCTTATTGGAGATTCTACACGTAAACTATTGCTGAATCGATATTACTGTTGTTAAAGAGACAATATTCCACACAGCCGCATCTTCGGACCCAGTGGAGTAGGATTATCCACGAAGACAGTCACCTGTGACGAGTCCTATCGCAGAATACTCGAGAGATTGCCGGTCATCTACCTTGGAAAATAAGCCACTCATAATTAGTGTTAAGACTTCATGGTTCGTGAATGATTTAGGTCAGAACTGTGGCTTTGTCTGATCGACCTAGCTATACTCTAGGCGCCACTAGATACGCCTTGTTTTCAGTTGTTGATATCGTGGGAGTGGTGGTAGAGGACACATAACTTAACTTATAACATTGCACCTATGTGGGAAAAGCTAGCCGGATCTTCCAATGGACGAGTCAACTCTTTAATATCTGGGCTTGCCCATTCCCCAACGTCTTGGACCTAGATTAGTGTGTGTTTTAAGTGTGCAAACATACTTACTGGAATGAGTGAGTGAGTGGGTGAGTTAAATTTTACATCACATCGGCAATATTTCAGCCATGTAGTGATGGGAACTAGGTATTAAATCTAAAATATATGTCAACAAAGGACATTAAAATAGTAAGGTATATCACAGTTTTTAATAAAACAAAATAGGTCATTATTTCTTTTAAAAAACATATAGCTGTAATAGATTAAGTCCTATCTATTAAAACAAGGCTATAGACCACTAATATCCAAAGTTAGACCACCTTACTGGAGATCATGGGGACTTACAGTACCTATGCTTCCTATGCTCCCCAGCAGAATTTATGCCATCCCTTTGGCTACCAGTGGCTGTACCATATTTACTGGAATGACAGTCAGCAGGTAAATATCGACTGGCATGGTTACAGCTTTTGGGAAAAGCAGTGGTGTTACTTGACATAATTTGCAAAGCTAAATGAGCCTGGAACCGTATTATTTTTGTTGATATTGCCTTGATTTTTGTGTTGAACAGTTCACTTTAACTCTTTAACAAATATGAGAAATTTCAAAATTTTAATATAAAAGCAAACACACACACACACCTTTTTCAAAGTACTTTTATCCATAAACTTCTTGTGATAAGCTGCAGGTTAACACTAACCCAACAGTAGTGCCGCGAATAGCTGGAATATTGCTGATGCGGCTTAAAGCACCACTTACTCACTCATAACAAGTAGCACACGGATAGTTGGATGAAGATGTTCAGTGAGAATAATAAATAGCACATAGGTAATGAAGCCAGATGTACAGCAAGAATTAAATTACAAGCTGATTGAATGCCAATTGAAAATAGTAGATTGCTTGATTAGATCTTCATAGGTCTGAGGCGCCGCGATTCACTTTGTAGATTTGCGTCCCTTGGGCACGCCAGAAACCTATGATTGTGGATTCGAATCCCGGTTCGCCCCGATTATGTTTCTAGGTTTGTCAGCACCATACCCGTGCCGAAGTGGTAAACGTCTGAGACCTGCATCACTTCGGGCTTTCCTCCCACATTAAGCTGACACGCCGCGATATAACTGGAATAATGTTAAAAGCGGCGTTAAAAACCCAACTCACTCACTCTTCATAGGTAGAATAGATGTATTACCCTGTTAATCCTTATAGAGATTTATGGTATCGATGTTCCAGGACTTGGAGGCAGACGTGTATTTCTCAGGTGACCGTCTGGAGAAGTGTCTGATTTAGTTTTGCTTTCTGAGTTTTATCGCGGTATGACGGACATTTTCACATTCCCCAAACATGACTGCTTGTCCATATGGTTCCTCCTTTACTTATATAGCATACGGCGATATTTTCCTTCTTAAACTTGGTATTTGTGGATAGTATTCCATCCTAAGTGCGCCATTTCACCTGCTTTCTCAGCCATAACGTGAGACATTTAATTAATCAGGAAAACATAACCAGTCTTCTCTTTATAAAAGCAAGTTTGCAAACCCGTGCATTTGATACAGACAACAGAAACAACAAAACATCTTCTTTTCAAGCACGCAACCAGTTGTCTTCAGTTCCCCCAAAAAACTCAAGCCGGCGCTTAACTAGGCATCAACATTTGTCTTTCATTTACAAAGAACGATTCAGTCAAGCGCTGTACATCGATAATACTTCCATTTTCGATAAGATACACAAAAAGTCTTCTCTCTTCAATTCGACCATCATTCTTTTCGAGAGGTAGCGCACCACACAAATACTAACACCAACGCTCCGTGAAGATCCAGGGTAGAATAGGCCTCCAGCAACCCATGCTTGCCGTAAAAGGCGACTATGCTTGTCGTAAAAGGCGACTAACGGGATCGGGTGGTCAGGCTCGCTGACTTGTTTGATGCATGTCATTGATCCCAATTGCGTGGATCGATGCTCATGATATCAATCACTGGATTGTCTGGTCCAGACTCGATTATTTACAGACCGCCGTCATATAGCTGTAATATTGCTGAGTGCGGCGTTAAACAACAAACCAACCAACAAACTAACACCTACGGCTCACTCGAGCTCAAAGTCGAGCTCAAAGTCTTTCGGCGTTCCTGTCGGCGGCCTCCGTGGCTACGGTTTACGGAACCTGCGTTGTTTCGCTCCTTGCAATTCAGCCAGGTCTCCACGACCCGTTGTCATCCTTGGAGCAGATGCGTTGCTGGGACAAAAGGAACCAATGCTCTACCACGGGAAAAAAGGGCGACGTCGTGTCCCTTCCACCCAGTCTACGCGATGTCATTGTGCCTGAACTATTGCGACACGCATGTTCTCACAGACAACCACGCGGCGCAACAAACACCAACGTACAAGGACGCACCGTTTTGTAACATTTCTGTAAGAGGTCCAATCCCTTTCGGTACAGCACCTCAAACCTTTCGAAAGCGCACCAAACAAAACAAACACGTCCACAACAAATCGCACATGGAGCCACAACCGACATGCGACACGCAGTTATCACAAATTTGAGCTCAGGCACAAACGCCATCACAAGCCAAAAAATGATAACAAACAACTGACCCCAACAACCATGCAGCGAGCAACAACCAAACAATGGGCATTGCCTAAAAGTCGGGCCGGGCCGGGCCAAGACGGGCCAAAGTGTTACTGGCTAATTACTTCATTATCGGCGATCATACCT